CTTTTAAACCTTTCCACAAACAGAACACCAGAGGCCCTTGAGAATTTTTAAAACATTTTAAAAATAATACGAGGGAGGCCCTTGAGATGCTTTCGAACTTTTTTAAAAATAAAACACCAGAAGCCTCTGAGATTCTTTCAAACATTTTCAAAATCGAAACAGCAGAGACTCCTGAGATTCTTTCAAACTTTTTCAGGATCTAAACACCAGAGGCCTTGAGACACTTTTAAACTTTTTCACAAACAGAACACCAGAGGCCACTGAAAATTTTTGAAACATTTTAAAAATAATGGAACAGAGGCCCCTGAGATGCTTTCCAAAATTTTCAACAATAAAACACTAGGGGCCTCTGAGATTCTTTTAAATTTTTTCAAAAATGAAACACAAGAGGCCCCTGAGACTCTTTCAAACTTTTTCAAAATCGAAACAATTGAGGCCTCTGAGATTCTTTTAAACATTTTCTGGATAGAAACACCAGATGCCCTCGAGGTTCTTTTAAACCTTTTCACACACAGAACACCAGAGGCCCTTGAGAATTTTTAAAACATTTTAAAAACAATACGAGGGAGGCCCTTGAGATGCTTTCGAACTTTTTCAAAAATAAAACACCGGAAACCTCTGAGATTCTTTTTTTTTTCAAAAATAACATACTAGTGGCCTCTGAGATTCTTTTAAACTTTTTCACAAACAGAACACCAGAGGCCTTTGAGAATTTTTAAAACATTTTATATATAATACAAGGGAGGCCCCTGAGATGCTTTCGAACTTTTAGAAAAATAAAACACCAAAGGCCTCTGAGATTTTTTCATTTTTTTTCAAAATCGAAATAGCAGAGGCCCCTAAGATTCTTTCAAACTTTTTCAGGATCTAAACACCAGAGGCCTTGAGACCCTTTTAAACTTTTTCACAAACAGAACACCAGAGGCCACTGAAAATTTTTGAAACATTTTAAAAATAATGGAACAGAGGCCCCTGAGATGCTTTCCAACATTTTCAACAATAAAACACGAGGGGCCTCTGAGATTCTTTTAATTTTTTTCAAAAATGAAACAATTGCGGCCTCTGAGATTCTTTTAAACTTTTTCAGGATCGAAACACCAGAGACCCTCGAGACTCTTTTAAACCTTTTCACAAACAGAACACCAGAGGCCCTTGAGAATTTTTAAAACATTGTAAAAATAATACGAGGGAGGCCCTTGAGATGCTTTCGATCTTTTTTAAAAATAAAACACCAGAAGCCTCTGACATTCTTTCAAAGTTTTTCAAAATCGAAACAGCAGAGACTCCTGAGATTCTTTCAAACTTTTTCCAGGATCTAAACACCAGAGGCCTTGAGACACTTTTAAACTTTTTCACAAACAGAATACCAGAGGCCAGTGAAAATTTTTGAAACATTTTAAAAATAATGGAACAGAGGCCCCTGAGATGCTTTCCAACATTTTCAACAATAAAACACCAGGGGCCTCTGAGATTCTTTTAATTTTTTTCAAAAATGAAACACTAGAGGGCCCTGAGATTCTTTTAAACTTTTTCAAAATCGAAACAATTGAGGCCTCTGAGATTTTTTTAAACATTTTCAGGATGGAAACACCAGAGGCCCTCGAGGTTCTTTTAAACCTTTCCACAAACAGAACACCAGAGGCCCTTGAGAATTTTTAAAACATTTTAAAAATAATACGAGGGAGGCCCTTGAGATGCTTTCGAACTTTTTTAAAAATAAAACACCAGAAGCCTCTGAGATTCTTTCAAACATTTTCAAAATCGAAACAGCAGAGACTCCTGAGATTCTTTCAAACTTTTTCAGGATCTAAACACCAGAGGCCTTGAGACACTTTTAAACTTTTTCACAAACAGAACACCAGAGGCCACTGAAAATTTTTGAAACATTTTAAAAATAATGGAACAGAGGCCCCTGAGATGCTTTCCAAAATTTTCAACAATAAAACACTAGGGGCCTCTGAGATTCTTTTAAATTTTTTCAAAAATGAAACACAAGAGGCCCCTGAGACTCTTTCAAACTTTTTCAAAATCGAAACAATTGAGGCCTCTGAGATTCTTTTAAACATTTTCAGGATAGAAACACCAGAGGCCCTCGAGGTTCTTTTAAACCTTTTCACACACAGAACACCAGAGGCCCTTGAGAATTTTTAAAACATTTTAAAAACAATACGAGGGAGGCCCTTGAGATGCTTTCGAACTTTTTCAAAAATAAAACACCGGAGACCTCTGAGATTCTTTTTTTTTTCAAAAATAACATACTAGTGGCCTCTGAGATTCTTTTAAACTTTTTCACAAACAGAACACCAGAGGCCTTTGAGAATTTTTAAAACATTTTATATATAATACAAGGGAGGCCCCTGAGATGCTTTCGAACTTTTAGAAAAATAAAACACCAAAGGCCTCTGAGATTTTTTCATTTTTTTTCAAAATCGAAATAGCAGAGGCCCCTAAGATTCTTTCAAACTTTTTCAGGATCTAAACACCAGAGGCCTTGAGACCCTTTTAAACTTTTTCACAAACAGAACACCAGAGGCCACTGAAAATTTTTGAAACATTTTAAAAATAATGGAACAGAGGCCCCTGAGATGCTTTCCAACATTTTCAACAATAAAACACGAGGGGCCTCTGAGATTCTTTTAATTTTTTTCAAAAATGAAATAATTGCGGCCTCTGAGATTCTTTTAAACTTTTTCAGGATCGAAACACCAGAGACCCTCGAGACTCTTTTAAACCTTTTCACAAACAGAACACCAGAGGCCCTTGAGAATTTTTAAAACATTGTAAAAATAATACGAGGGAGGCCCTTGAGATGCTTTCGATCTTTTTTAAAAATAAAACACCAGAAGCCTCTGACATTCTTTCAAACTTTTTCAAAATCGAAACAGCAGAGACTCCTGAGATTCTTTCAAACTTTTTCAGGATCTAAACACCAGAGGCCTTGATACACTTTTAAACTTTTTCACAAACAGAACACCAGAGGCCTCTGAGATTCTTTTAATTTTTTTCAAAAATAAAACACCAGAGTTCTCTGAGATCCTTTTAAACTTTTTCAAAAATAAAACACGAGGGGCCTTTGAGATTCTTTTAATTTTTTTCAAAAATAAAACACTAGACGCCCCTGAGATTCTTTTAAACTTTTTCAAAATCGAAACAATTGAGGCCTCTGAGATTCTTTTAACCTTTTTCAGGATCGAAATACCAGACACCCTCGAGACTCTTTTAAACCTTTTCACAAACAGAACACCAGAGGCCTCTGAGATTCTTTTAATTTTTTTCAAAAATAAAACACCAGAGTTCTCTGAGATCCTTTTAAACTTTTTCAAAAATAAAACACTAGAGGCCTCTGAGATTCTTTTAAACTTTTTCAGGATCGAAACACCAGAGGCACTCGGAACGTTTTAAAAATAAAACACCGGGTGCTCCTGAGACACGTTCAATTTTTTTTCAAAAGTAAAACAAAGAGGCCCCTGCGATTTTTTTTAGCTTTTTCATAAACAAAACACCAGAGGCCACTGAAATCTTTATAAACTTTTTCAAAATCGGAACATCACGTTTTTTGGATTATTAAAAAAACACGAAAGAACAAATTTAGTCTGATTTTATTCAAAATTTCACACATATTTTTAATCATAGAACAGATATTGCAGGTAATTTTTTACTGTATTTCAGTCGAAAACTAAAAAATAAGAATGAATAAGAATTTTAGGAAAATAAAAAAAATTGTTTTTAATATTTAATTAATAAAATAAATTATTTCATTTACAATTGTAAGAAATATGAACATATTCCCAAAACAAGCAAAATTTCATGTCGAGGTCATTCAATAAATTTCTGTGATGACGTCATCGATTTTCAAGAGGGGATGAGTAAATTATAATCGATATTCGATGTTCTATAATAACTCAAATCATGTCGGTAACTCGCTAAAATTTCAAAAATTTCTAAGAAACTTTGTCATGTTACAAACTTTATTGTTTTGTGAAAATCCACATCATTATCGTTAAAAGCATACACTCGTTAACCACAGATAAATTTATTTTAAAATTTCACAACAATTATTCCTAATCACGAATTCCTGCCGTCACTTATTTCCTCTTTATTGAAAAAAGTGGGTGTTCCATGATTTATTAATTATTAAGAAGACAACTTAAAGTGATGCATGCATAATGGAGGCAAATGTAACTCCGACCTTTAACACACAACTGTTATCAGAGTGGTAAATTGGTCGTTTATTGCCATTTTCTTAAATAGGCACGGAATGCGTTTGTTCACAACCACAATCAGAACTTCGTCCATTCATGAATTAAACTTCGATAACAAATGTGATGAAGGACGCTGAAACTAGAGAACAAAACACTTAACCGTGTCGCCAATATTGATTTCCCTGAACGTGAGTTTGTGGGGCGAAATTGCAGATTTTAGTCGAGTCCGTGGCTCTAAATTTAGCAGTTCAACAAGTGGGTTTACATGCGCTCGAGGATAATTAGAATCGGGACAACCTTGTAAATTAAAACAGCTAATTTATTCCGTCAATAAATAAAAAACATTAAACCAAACCGCTAATAAAAAAAATCAAGAGGGGACGGATAAATAGTCAAAACCGTCTCAGTATCTGCGCAAAATTCCAAAAAAATCGGAGAAAATTAAAGTCCCGATCGTTAAATATGCATTAGATAAAGGATCGTGGTACAATTTGAATTTCAAGCGACGCCATAGAAAATTTCACATTAACTAGTCCTAATCACGAATTGTTGAATTTTTTTAGTTTAAAAAGTGACATCTAAAGTCTGAAGTGCATAGTGGAGACAAATATAACTCCGACCTTTAACACAGAATGTTATCAGAATGGTAAATTAGTTGTTTATGTTTTTATACAGAATGCGTCTGTTCTTACCTGTTTGTTCGAGCCTAAACTAGAGAGCAAAATACTTACTGTTGTGTCGCCGGTATCGATCGGTGCAAATTTGTGCGTTGTAGGATGATTCGAAGGATACAGTGTGTTAAATTAAAATAGCTAATTTATTTCGTCAATAATTCCATACATTTAAAAAAAAACCAAGGCACTCTCGGTGTATATCATTTACACAATGATTTGAACACATAACGATTTTTATACAAATTTTCGCGATGTAAAATGTATGTGTATGGAACTTAATCTAGCCTAAATCCTAAATCACATGATTTAAATTATTCGATTAATAATACCTAGACACTAATATGGGATATAAAACAGAGCATATAATCAGATATATCACAGAGAATGCGATTTCGCCCGCTGCACTGCTTAGGAAGAGTAGACAAGCAACAGCCAGCGGCGAAAACGTCTCTCTCTGCTGGCTTGTTCATTTTTATTGCCGAGGACGCGAGATATGGAAGAGTATATCTTGGGAATGATATTGAGCTAGAACCTAAGCGAAAAATGCTAATATCACAGCCTGTTCGGCCGTCTTTTGCACAGTCTTTTTCTGTCATCACAGAATGGTCCTTGGAAATGTTCAAGGAATGTACGAGCCACCTCCGATGTGCAGCAGGTAAATCGATCATCGAATTAAAAAAAAAAAAAACAGTACAAAAATTTAGAAAAAGGCACGCTCGGGCATGCTGAAACTATGTCTTTCGTAATCGTTCGTAAAGGCACGCTAGACAGTCTCTTTCCCCTCGAGCTTCTTCGACAAGTCCGAAATGATCTCCCTGTAGATCAGCGGGTCGATGTTCTTACCCATCTGGTAGAAGACGTACCAGTCCCCGATCTCGCACCGGCTGTTGATGGTCTCCACCTCCTTCTGGGGCGCGATCTTGCACTTGCCTCGCAGCAGGTAGAGGCGCACCTTGGGCATGAAGATGACCACGAGCCGGTACACCAGCGACAGCCCCGTCAGCACGCTGAGGAACACGAACCAGAACCACAGGAACACGTAGATCTTCTCGTTGACGATGTTCAAAGGCAGGACGCACAGCCCGTCGAACTTCTGCACCGAACCGGAAGGACCGTATTTGTGGAAGGTGCACTTGGTTACCTTCGGGAACACCCGGGACATGGGGTCCTCGCGGTCCTCCGGTTCCATCTCGGTGAAGCTGAGGACGTCGCGCCCGTACGTGCTGAACTCCCCGTCGAGGAAGTAGTCCATGAAGAAGATCTGCCCCACCACGTTGACGAAGTTGAGGACTTCGCAGATGAAGAAGCGGAAAGCGTAGAAGTTCTGCATGTGCAGGTTGGTCACGAAGTAGTCCACGAGGAGGCGCTTACGGTCGGTCTTGCAGTCTTCGTTGACGATGGGGTCGTTGAGGTCGAGGACGAGCATCTTGATGCGTCCGCCTTCCCAGGTTTTCCACAGGTAACGGGGGACGTAGAAGAGCATGGCTTGGAAGAAGAGGGCGAAGCACACCCACTGGTAGTACTTGTGGTACTTGACCTCGTCGGTGCCGTCCACGTGGCTGGCCACCCCCGGCTGCACGATATCCAAACCCACGCGTCCCGTCAGCCGGTTGGGGATCGTGAACGTGGAGTAGATCCAGCAGTAGGTGTCCATGACGTTGAGCGGGATCTCGTCGACGATGCAGTCGATGGGATCCCCGATGTATTGCCGGCTGGTGACCAGAAGCGAGAAGGCTATAAGGATGATAACGGTCGCTTTGTAATGCAAACGGAACACGTTGTTGTCGATGCACACCGCATCGATCTTCAGCAGCCCCTTGACGGAGCCGAAGACGTCGAACATGCTGGCAGTTGTTCGCGCACTAGCACTACCGAAACTTTTTCCTACTGGTATTAATTAGCTAATTGTTGGTGGCACTTTCTACTGTGTATTTATCTGTACGCTGCGAGCGCTACTACGGCAACGCTCGCTCGGTCTGCGGCTGCACTCGAGGGGGGCTCAAGCTAGTAGGGATGGCGCGTTCTGATTGGTCGGCGCAGTAGCCTCTTTCGCGGGACAACGATGCCGACCGGAAAAAAGTTTTGAGAGGGAGCGAGAGCCGATGTCGAGCGCGTTCAAAGTGCAGCCGGCGATTGGGAGATGCAACAATTTAGCGAAGAACTGAACCGAGCTCCGGAGGTGGAACCGAAAAGAGCAATGGAAATCGTTCGAGGTGTTACGTCATGCGAACTTTGCCTTTTTGCGAGGGGATCATAAAAAGCGACGACTGATAGCCGGCGACAGAAAATTTGCATATACACGGAGTGTTCATTTTTGTGATTAACTCGAGTGGCGCGAATTTGGTGAGGTTCTACACACTAGTTATAGCGAATCAAATTTAACAAAAAAAAAAAAAAACGTCCATATCAATGTGTGAGGACTTGAGTAAAGTTATTAAAAAAATCATCAAACAAGTTCGAGAAAGGTGCAAGTAAGAAGAAAGATCTTTCACTTCCAAGTATTTTAATAAGTGAAAGTTTTCACAGACAAATTTTGTAACATTGTGGTTCAAAATTTGATATTTGTGTTTATTACTCTTGCTTATCACATTTTGTTTGGAAGTCTTTGCATTTTCTGTACCTGGTATGGTGTGACTAACCTAAAAAACCTTTGGACAATCGAGCTGAATCATGTTATTGTTAAAAGTGTTATCTTAGAATGATCGGGAAATCTGAGAAATACCAAAACGAGATATGTGTTAATTTTCAGAATTTTTGTGTAAATTCTTAAACCGTTAATTATTTATCTTTACCCTGCTTTGCGTGGTACATTATGTAAATGTTGTCTAAGAATGATATTTCGAAATCATCGAATAAATGCACATATTTAACTTAGATAACTATGTGTAATGACTTGCTTCTAAAATTATAAAAATGGAAACAACAAAAAATAACTATTCTTCCAGTTTTTCCTATAGCGGTTTAAATGTATATATTGTGTCGATTTAGTTTCAAAATTAAGTGCCACTTACGCAGTGTAAGCTATAATGGGGTCTGGCGAATTGGTTATTTAGCGTTTTCTCGACGTTTCGTACTTTCTAGACTGAGAAAAAAATAAGTTTCTACTTTCCGAAACTGCTTATCAGACAGTAAAATGCTACGCAAAATCTGTCTGATCATCCTCACTAAAAATTTGATGCAATCATTTAAAAATTTTCCAAAGTAAATTCTGTATCGCTGAATTCATTACTGTTTTTAACTTCATTGTGAAGGTTTGTGAAAAAATCAAAATTGCAAAATTTCACTTCAAAATTGTATTGAAACTCAGCACTTTAAGGTTATCAACAACATGAAAAATCGCTAATCAGAATTGATCTGATTAGATCATCTTTTCCAAAAACTTGATGAGGTCATCTGAAATGGTGCCAAGTGTGTCCTATTTACCTAGAATGTGCAACATAATATGCTTTTTATCTGTGACTTAATATTATTAATCTACACTTATTTCTAACCATTTAAGTTTTTTAAGGGGAAAAAAAACAAAAAAAACATAGTGTAACAAAATTTTCACTTTCTAAGATATTAAACCGCCAATCGCAATTCATCTGATCATCCCTTACAAGAGCTTAATGACGTCATCCCAAAATTTGTCTTGGAATGTACTGAAATTTTCGTAATATGATTGATTATACAAGATTGCATGATTAAAACTTATTTATTTAGAAAGTTAATAACGTCAAAGCAGACATTTATTAAATAAATATTGGCGAAAAATGTGTTTGGGATGCAATCTTGTATGCACTTTAGTAACATATATTTATTTTTAAATTTTTAATTCCCGGGCGTGAGCTAAGAAAGTATCGTAATAAGGTCCAACTGACGAGCAATTTTCAAGTTTTCTCGACGTTTCGTGACCCCTAGAGTACGAAAAAATAGGTCTGGCGATTCCGCTTGCCTGTTGTCTGAATCTTCGAAACTACCGGATCGATTGCTGTCAAATTTCTCCTAGTAAACGCCATTTAAATTTTATAAAATAACATACTCTTGTACTTGTGGCTTATGAATCCGACTTGAGTTTTTACCCCAGATATACAGATTTTCGCAAAAATGCAAATTGTATAATATCAAAATAAAATATAGCTTTCATTATTATTATCTTTTTATAGAGCTTTTCACGAAAAAAATGTATAGTTTTTGAAGAATCAAGATTTGTTAATGCTTCTATGAATGTTGAAATAAATTAATACTATTTTTGTTCTAAATATAGAAATATTACTATAAAAAAATGTAATATAAAATGGGTTTTGACAAACGGTAGAATCTAAGATTTAAAACAAAGTAAAAAGTGGCCCCGCCCACCCACCCCAAAATGAAGAGCGGGTTGGTGGGCGGGATTATTGCTTACTTATAAAAGATTCAGTACGAAAAAGTTAAATTTAGCCCCGCCCACCCACCCGTCCTGAACTTTTATAATTTACCCAAGAATTTTGATTACTTTGATTATTCTTCAGGGGAGAGGATAGTTATGTCTAATAAATTTATACCATTTTTACTTATAGTAGTTGCTACGATATGACTGAACAATACTAAGTGCAGTCACTAGAATGAAGAGCGGGTGGGTGGGCGGGCCTATTGCTTAATATAATAAAAGACTCAGTAAGGAAAAATTAAACTAAACCCCGCCCACCCACCCGTCCGTTTTCTTTTATTTTCTTCTGAAATAAGAAATAATTTTCTTGTACAAAAAATTACTTAGTTGCCCTGTTTCCGGTTCCGGACCGATGTTGTCAAATTTTATGTCTGTTAAGAATATCGTGTAGATGGTAAGACACTAGTCAAAATTTGTTTAGTCATCGCACTATCAATTTGATGACGTCACGTGAACATTGTTCTTAGTAAATGCGATTTACATTTTATAAAATAACATACTCGTGTACGTGTGGTTTATGAATTCGACTTGGAAAATCGGCGACTGTGTAATTGTACCTTTATTATTTGTAGAAATTGTAGTACGTTATCGGTAAGCAAAATAACTCAAATTTAAGGTGGGTCTTTAATTGCAATGCAAACTACAAAGTTAGTTTTACAAGCGAGCTATAACCGCCTCCACGTTGCCGCCCCCGGCTTTTTTAATCGTTTAATGCAATTTTATATTTTAGTTTTATTGATTTCACATTTATTACGGCTATTGTTGGAATAAAAAATATTTCTATCGAAAAATGAATTTTTTTGGCATATACAGGGTGAGTCACTAGGCGCGCGGTCTTCGAGCTCTCATTAATTAATCATTAGGGAGAGAATAAAAATTTATAGACCAAAGTTGTACGGTTCTCTGAAAAACATACATTAAAATTATTTTCGAATATACAGAGTGTTTTGATTTTGGGGCACAATTCATAGTTTTTAGAATGACGTATACAGGGTGATTAAACTGAAAAAAAAGTTTTATTGTATAGGAACCTCACGTTGGAGTGATCGTCCTGAAATGCTATTACGGATTAATGTAAAAATTTTGCATAGATATAATCGCAAATCCGAGACTCGTATTTGTTACAATTGAGATTAACCTGGTTGAGAAATCGGGGCGCGATTTAGCTCGATTGTAGTTATTAATCCGTACTAAGTACGACAATAATAAAAATCCGGGTCTGAAAAGCTTGCATCAGCGGCGTTTCCTCTCCAATTTTATTACCCATTTTTAATTGATGTTATCCGGAAAGCCGCGGGTACTCATCCAAACAGTAGCCATTAAGGACACAGCATAAATTCTTTCGATAATCTTAAGTATTCGCAGCACGCCGAGGCGAGAACGTTGCGAGAAAAGTCGGACCTTGAAGTGGCTTGTCTCTACTCAGTATTGTAAGTAACCCCTTTGGAATGCAGTTCGATCAATCCGGGTAGCTTCAGCTTTGTCCGCCGTTCTGTTGAGTCATCCACATCGTAAGTGGTACCGACCGGATCGGATTGAACTCGCCGGTACCACTTGCAACTCAGATCCAATCGCAGAAAATTGCAAAGCATCGCTTTTTCAGTTTTGAGGTGACGCGTTGCAGTGACACGGGGTTCTGGTACCGCCGCGGTACCGGCGAGGCGGGTTTTAAACGAACAGTTATTCTCGCCGCTGGAATGGATGATAGGTTCATTATCTAGGTCGTTTTCATTCAGAACGGCTTGAGAACTGGCTGGGATGAATTGAAGATGGTTTCTGCTCGTTAGAGTGGTACCGAATTGATGGTGTGAGGCTCGAGAGCGTCTTTTGTCTTAGACGAGATTCGGTGGCTGCTGGAGGTTTTAATGACAGTTCAGCGAACGGTAGACTGGAATGTCACCTCTGTTAGCGGTCAACGCTGCCTACCCCTGACCTCCCGAACCCAGCAGCGGCGCATCTTTGCAGACACCGCCGATGCTGGTACTACCGAGAATTATGGACGTCTTCGCGGAGAAGCGGTGGTACCGATTAGGAAAGTTGTAGTACGACTCATTCTTTTACATTTGTGATTGTAGTTGTGGCTTTAACTACATTGCAGACCAAATGTGTGCGCAAGTACTGGTACTTATGGTTAAAATGGATTGAGGTCAGGGTGGTCTTATACCTTTTATTTTGCTTTTATGGTAAGTTAAAGTCTGTTTTTAGTGCGATAATAGTTTTATGTAAAATGACACAAAAAAAAAACAGGGACAAGAAAATATAGCAGAGGTAAAGAATGAAATACAGTTCTTATCACCGATATGCACAGGAATTTCGACGACTTTTTTTTTTTTGAAACTTTTATTACTTTATTAGGTTTTAAATCCGCTTGCTTGGGAAGACCTTCTCCCATAGTAAGAGTAACAAATAAAATACAACTTTTACAGTTGTATGGGTTGACGCTTACAATCGGTTTAAGATATTTAAATAACGTCTAGAATTCGTATTTAAACAGTGTAATCCAGTAGAAAACGTTAATCCACTGGACCATCCCAAAATATTCTTGGAATTGACTTTGGTCCCTCTTGTCATAGACCATTGTGCTTCTCCTACCTGCTAGTCAGGGTGCATCTAAATTATCGTACTCGACAGAGGTCTTTACGCCTATTTAGCATAAGAGTCAGTTTTCGTTTCGCGTTCGCTGCTCGTTTTACTTTCTAGTTCGGTCGACAAAGCGGCACTCATCGAACTGATAAATGGTTTGCTAATGATTTATTTGCAGTTCTAGCTAAGATTCATAAATTAAATTTAGACAAACGTCTACAAATCGTAAAGTTAAGGTGTTTCTAAATATTTAATCTTTGATGAACACATGTCTAAAATCGACATCAATGTCACTTTTAGGATGTGCGGTAGCACTTGTTTGTTATTATTTTTTTAATATAAGTGTTTTTGACACACAATAAAATACAAAACGCGTGCAGGTGCGGTAAACAAGGTTAAAACGCTGCATTATTGTATTTTAAAGCTATTGTAAATTTCGTAACAAATCGATGATAAAATCATAATTTATTATTTTTTGTTGCAATATTTCGTAAGTGTGTTTCGTAATGTTGAAAAAGAAAGATTATATAGGTTAGATAAATCTTTCTAAAGTACAATAATTTTGTAAATACTACTAAATTTTAGAAGGTATTTTGACCAGTTTGTCTCTATCAAAATCATAAGACATTCTCAAGTAACAATAATTAATGTAATAATTCAATAATTAGTTTTATCATTGATTCTTCTTGCTGACAACAACCTGGAAAAATGATTTAATCAATAAAATAAATTGACACATTCATTAATTTTTTTTGAGCCACCTGTATTAGCAAATCTAAAAAATATGAATGCAACGATAAATCACAAGTAAAAACTGCCCACCTGCCCCCTATTTTCTCAGAGGATATGTCATTTGCCAAAATCTGTCTTATCTTACCAAGTACTAGCCCCGCCCACCCACCCGCTATTTTTTCGGAGGATATGTTATTTGCCAAATTCAGTCTTATCTTACCAAGTACTAACCCCGCCCACCCGCCCCGTATTTTTTCAGAAGATATGTCATCTGCCAAAATCAGTCTTATCTTACCAAGTACTAGCCCCGCCCACCCTCCCCCTATTATCGCAGAGGATATGTGATTTGCCAAAATCAGTCTTATCTTACCAAATACTAGCCCCGCCCACCCGCCTCCTATTTTCACAGAGGATATGTCATTTACCGAAATCAGTCTTATGTTAGCAAGTACAAGTCCTGCCCAGCCGCCTTCTATTTTCTCAGAGGGTAGTATTTGCTAGTACTTGCTAAGATAAGTCTTATTTTGGCAAATGACATATCCTTTGAAACAATAGGGGCGGGTGGGCGGGGCTACCACTTGCTCAGATAAGACTGATTTTGGCAAAGGCATACCTTCTGAATAAAGAGAGGGCGGGTGGGCGGGGCTAGTACTTGGTAAGATAAGACTGATTTTGGCAAATGCGATTACAATACTTCCTTCGCTTACTCTCGGGAAGTAAAAAGACAGTTGGGACCCTCGCGAATGTTTCACATTTTCAAAAAAGGCAGTTGGGATCCTCGAGAAGGTTTTACATTTTTCAAAAAGACATTTGGCGCCCCCGAGAAGGTTTTACATTTTTAAAAAAGACAGTTGGGGCTCCCGAGAAGGTTTTACATTTTTAGAAAAGACAGTTGGGGCCCCCGACAAGGTTTTACATTTTCAAAAAAGACATTTGGCGTCCACCAGAAGGTTTCACATTCTCAAAAATTGGCAGTTGGGACCCCCGAGAAGGTTTCACATTCTTAAAAAAGACATTTGGTGCCCCCGAGAAGGGTTTACATTTTTAAAAAAGACATTTCTCGCCCCCGAGAAAATTTTACATTTTTAAAAAAGACAGTTGGGACCCCCGAGAAGGTTTTACATTTTTAAAAAAGACAGTTGGGATCCCCGAGAAGGTTTCAGAAAAAAAAGACATTTGCCGCCCCTGAGAAGGTTTTACATTTTTAAAAAAGACAGTTGGGGCTCCCGAGAAGGTTTTACATTTTCAAAAAAGATAGTTGAGGCCCTTGAGAAGGTTTCAGATAAAAAAAAGACATTTGGCGCCCCTGAGAAGGTTTTATATTTTTAGAAAAGACAGTTAGGATCCCCGAGAAGGTTTCAGACAAAAAAAATACATTTGGCGTCCCTGAGAAGGTTTTACATTTTTAAAAAAACAGTTGGGTCCCCTGAGAAGGTTTTACATTTTTAAAAAAAGACATTTGGCGCCCCCGAGAAGGTTTTACATTTTTAAAAAAATAGTTGGGTCCCCTGAGAAGGTTTTACATTTTCAAAAAAGACACTTGGCGTCCCCGAGAAGGTTTTACATTTTTAAAAAACAGTTGGGTCCCCTGAGAAGGTTTTACATTTTTAAAAAAGACACTTGGCGTTCCCGAGAAGGTTTTACATTTTTAGAAAAGACAGTTAGGATCCCCTGAGAAGGTTTTACATTTTTAAAAAAGACACTTGGCGTTCCCGAGAAGGTTTTACATTTTTAGAAAAGACAGTTAGGATCCCCGAGAAGGTTTCAGACAAAAAAAAGACATTTGGCGTCTCCGAGAAGGTTTTACATTTTTAGAAAAGACAGTTAGGATCCCCGAGAAGGTTTCAGATAAAAAAGACATTTGGCGTCCCCGAGAAGGTTTTACATTTTTAAAAAGACAGTTGGGTCCCCTGAGAAGGTTTTATATTTTTAAAAAAGACACTTGGCGTTCCCGAGAAGGTTTTACATTTTTAGAAAAGACAGTTAGGATCCCCTGAGAAGGTTTTACATTTTTAAAAAAGACACTTGGCGTTCCCGAGAAGGTTTTACATTTTTAGAAAAGACAGTTAGGATCCCCGAGAAGGTTTCAGACAAAAAAAAGACATTTGGCGTCCCCGAGAAGGTTTTACATTTTTAGAAAAGACAGTTAGGATCCCCGAGAAGGTTTCAGATAAAAAAGACATTTGGCGTCCCCGAGAAGGTTTTACATTTTTAAAAAACAGTTGGGTCCCCTGAGAAGGTTTTACATTTTTAAAAAAGACACTTGGCGTTCCCGAGAAGGTTTTACATTTTTAGAAAAGACAGTTAGGATCCCCGAGAAGGTTTCAGACAAAAAAAAAGACATTTGGCGTCCCCGAGAAGGTTTTACATTTTTAGAAAAGACAGTTAGGATCCCCGAGAAGGTTTCAGATAAAAAAGACATTTGGCGTCCCCGAGAAGGTTTTACATTTTTAAAAAACAGTTGGGTCCCCTGAGAAGGTTTTACATTTTTAAAAAAGACACTTGGCGTTCCCGAGAAGGTTTTACATTTTTAGAAAAGACAGTTAGGATCCCCGAGAAGGTTTCAGACAAAAAAAAAGACATTTGGCGTCCCCGAGAAGGTTTTACATTTTTAGAAAAGACAGTTAGGATCCCCGAGAAGGTTTCAGATAAAAAAGACATTTGGCGTCCCCGAGAAGGTTTTACATTTTTAAAAAACAGTTGGGTCCCCTGAGAAGGTTTTACATTTTTAAAAAAGACACTTGGCGTTCCCGAGAAGGTTTTACATTTTTAGAAAAGACAGTTAGGATCCCCGAGAAGGTTTCAGACAAAAAAAAAGACATTTGGCGTCCCCGAGAAGGTTTTACATTTTTAGAAAAGACAGTTAGGATCCCCGAGAAGGTTTCAGATAAAAAAGACATTTGGCGTCCCCGAGAAGGTTTTACATTTTTAAACAACAGTTGGGTCCCCTGAGAAGGTTTTACATTTTTAAAAAAGACACTTGGCGTTCCCGAGAAGGTTTTACATTTTTAGAAAAGACAGTTAGGATCCCCGAGAAGGTTTCAGACAAAAAAAAAGACATTTGGCGTCCCCGAGAAGGTTTTACATTTTTAGAAAAGACAGTTAGGATCCCCGAGAAGGTTTCAGATAAAAAAGACATTTGGCGTCCCCGAGAAGGTTTTACATTTTTAAAAAGACAGTTGGGTCCCCTGAAAAGGTTTTACATTTTTAAAAAAGACATTTGGCGTCCCCGAGAAGGTTTTACATTTTTAAAAAGACAGGTGGGTCCCCTGAAAAGGTTTTACATTTTTAAAAAAGACACTTGGCGCCCCCGAGAAGGTTTTACATTTTTAGAAAAGACAGTTAGGATCCCCTGAGAAGGTTTTACATTTTTAAAAAAGACACTTGGCGCCCCCGAGAAGGTTTTACATTTTTAGAAAAGACAGTTAGGATCCCCTGAGAAGGTTTTACATTTTTAAAAAAGACACTTGGCGCCCCCGAGAAGGTTTTACATTTTTAGAAAAGACAGTTAGGATCCCCTGAGAAGGTTTTACATTTTTAAAAAAGACACTTGGCGCCCCCGAGAAGGTTTTACATTTCTAGAAAAGACAGTTAGGATCCCCTGAGAAGGTTTTACATTTTTAAAAAAGACACTTGGCGCCCCCGAGAAGGTTTTACATTTTTAGAAAAGACAGTTAGGATCCCCTGAGAAGGTTTTACATTTTTAAAAAAGACACTTGGCGCCCCCGAGAAGGTTTTACATTTCTAGAAAAGACAGTTAGGATCCCCTGAGAAGGTTTTACATTTTTAAAAAAGACACTTGGCGCCCCCGAGAAGGTTTTACATTTTTAGAAAAGACAGTTAGGATCCCCGAGAAGGTTTCATATAAAAAAAGACATTTGGCGTCCCCGAGAAGGTTTTACATTTTTAGAAAAGACAATTGGGATCCCCGAGAAGGTTTTACGTTTTTAGAAAAGACAGTTAGGATCCCCGAGAAGGTTTTAGATAAAAAAAATACATTTGGCGTCCCTGAGAAGGTTTTACATTTTTAAAAAAGACAGTTGAGACCTCCGAGAAGGTTTCAGATAAAAAAAAAGATTCGTGAATCACATTTATAGGACTATATTGTTGTATAACAGTTGAATCAAATAAACATAGAATTATTTGAAATGACGCCATCAAATTTTTGGTGCAGATGACTATCAAAATTTTGGTTAGCATTTAACCATCTACATAATATTTCTAATATACTTACATACAAAATTTGGCAACAATCGGTCGAGCAGTTTTGGAGATTACGTGTCTAATAAAAATGGATACAGACACCAGATAGACAGACAGACAGGATTGTACTTTTCAAAATGTCAAAACTACGAAACGCTGAGACATTCTTCAAGTGGATTATGCTCAAACCAAAAAATCTCAAATGATAATAATCAATACAAAGGGGTCACGGTTAAAATCGCAATCCTCTCTAGTAACAATTTAATAACCGTGTTATCGAATGAAGTTCTGACACAATAAACCCCAACCCGCATTTCCTCTACAAAATCTGTCCCCAATCTCGTGACAGATAAGTAATTTTCCTTTTGATTAAAGACAAAATTAGCATCGAGCACTAAGTCAATAGACCAAATCAGAAAGCAAACACCCCAGTTCTTGGCACCTAAAGCACACTTTTTGTCTGTTCCAGTCCGCTATTTCTAAACCACAAGCTGCAACTCTCTACAGTACCTTTCATCGCATCAGTCACTTTGTCTCAGTCGCGACAAAAATTAAATAACAGGTGACTCGGTGAGTAACGAATACATTTATAAAAATCCAAATATTTGTTTCTGTTCAAACGAAAAACGTCATCGACCTGTGACACCAAAGCCTTATCATATCATTGTGTCTTCGTCTGGCGGGTTCAAAGGCGACGGAAAAGCAGGTCAATTTAATCAAACGCCGCTGATTGGAATCGGATTCTGAAAGAGATACCTGGATTGATGTGGCTGCCTTATTAGGGTTATGTACTTTCATTTCGAGATAAATTTTTGTGTTGAAACATGATTGTTACGCTTTATCAATCTTTTGTTCTTATGTTTACCGTGTGTGCAATGTCACACGTTACGGAAAATTTCGTGGGATGCAGTTGTTTACCTCATGATTCTAGAAAACTTGATTGGTAATTGGTTATCACGACTTTAAAAAAAGTGTGAGCGCTGAATTTAAATATTTGATTGTTCATTAGCGGTTTTTAATTATGTTATCACTATCAGTGTGGCGGAGATTGTGCATATTTAAACAATTTTATTTAGATTTTCAGGAAAATTGCGTTGAGGTTTGTATTTTCTCGTAACTTTTACTGAGTCAATTGTATAAAATTAGTCGGGTGTTATTAACCTTGATAGGTATTAGAACACACACATGCATATTGCAACTGGAAAATTTTAAAACCACTTAATAAAAACAATCGTTACATAAGTAGCCTTGAAGACGACTTGTATTCACACCAGGGTGAAACTTTCACGATTTTTGGAAAACCGTACCTAATCGTACCGCAGGATCATCTACATGTTTAGAAAAAAGCGAAGGGGTGTTATCGGACCCCTGCATGCTCCTTTTTCGCAACGACCATTTTATTGCCCGGCAGTGCGCTACTGCACCACCTCCTGATAATTTTGTTCGAATTTCGTTCACAATATATCTAATCACACTCATTAAATCAACTTCATTGTGAACAGTGCGCGCAGGCTTAAGGTGACTTAAATTTATCTGAACTTATAATTGACGGTCCGGACTCGATGAGTAAGAAGAGACTTTATTAAACGGTCTTTAATAGTGGTTCGGTGTCTGCTCGCGAATTAGCTTCAATATGGTAATTAGTGTTAATTAATTTCTCCCCAGCGGTGGATCGTGGCGTTTTAGGTAGGTCTTGTAGTTTTATTGCTTGTAATTTTTTTTATTTTGGCGATTTTTAATTGATACGTGTATGGTTAAGTGGATGTAGGTGTGCAGGTGGTTTGATTGCGCTGCTGCATTAATTTTTTTTTTTTTTTGGAAACGGCTACAGAATTTTATTTGAGGTATGATGAAATAGCGAGAGTTCGAGTACTACTGGGAGATAAAATTAGTAATTGTTCTTAGGCTTTTGTTAAGATTAGAGATAAGATAAGATGACAATAAGAGGAATAGGAAACGTCGTTGTTGATAATAATCGCTGCAATCATTCGATTCGAATTTCGCAACAGTCGCTCCCTCTCTCTCCTAATTTGTACTCTACCTGCGGCTCCTCTCACTCCTGACTGTCATTCTTGCAAAAAATCTATTTTTTCCACTATGACAAGATATTTCTTGTTTTAGTTCGTTGTATCTTGCCAACTGAGTCACCAAAATGTTGACCACTTTCGAATCCATCAAGAAGAATTTTAAGCTAAAACCTCAAACTGTCTGCATCGATAACTGGATTTTCCGTCTCCATTATCGCATCACGACTTTGATATTTCTGGTGGCCACCATCTTGGTGACCTCTAGACAATACATAGGGGAACATATCAGATGTATCAGCGACAAGGGAGTCCCCGAGAATGTCTTGAACACTTTCTGTTTCTTCACCAGCACGTTCACTGTGGTAAGTACCAAAATTGAAGCCCGAAAACAACTAAAAACTGACAATAGGTGAAACAATATGACGACAAAATGGTGGAAAGAGCAGAAGTAGCCCATCCTGGTGTTGGCTCATATGGGTTCAATTCGACTGAACCCATCCAGAGACACGCCTACTACCAATGGGTTCCTTTCGTCTTATTTGGGCAAGCGATCATGTTCCACCTGACCCATCTCATGTGGAAGAAGTTTGAAGGTGGAAGAATTCGCCTCCTGATTGAAAAACTTCGCTACAGCAGTTACTCTCTATTAGAGAAGGAAATTGAAATCAAAGGCACCAAAATTCCCCCGAAAGAACAAAAGTGAGTGAGTTGTATCATCAGACCGTACTAACTAAAATTCACTCCATAGGGAAGAATTTTTGAAAACTATCAAAAGAGCTTTCATTGAACGCATCCTTATCAACAAATCGTGGGGCCGGTGGCTGGTTTTTTGTGAATTCTTGAACGTACTTAACGTGGTACTTCAAATCTACATCACAGACATGTTCCTAGGGGGGAAATTTATAAATTTAGGGATTGACGCTGTGAACGATGGGCTTGAAGAGACCGTGACTGTGTTGGACGAGGTGTTTCCCAAGGTAAGAACCGTGATAACACTTTGTGTCAACACTGGTGGAATTTGTCAACACGTCTCCAGTAATTTTTAAGTCAAATAACACAACTAACAACTTGCCAATTGTATAATTACTAATTAGTAGTAATTAGTCACATGATTATAAAATTCCAGGTGACGAAATGCTCCTTCTACAAGTACGGTCCTTCCGGCAGCATCCAGATCCACGACGCCATGTGCGTCATGGCGCTCAACATCATCAACGAAAAAATCTACATCATCCTGTGGTTCTGGTTCATTATCCTCTTCATTGTGTCGTCTTTGGCGATCATCTGGAGGATCCTCACCATCTGTCTGCACTCCAGGAGTACCAAGTTCAATCAGATCGTCTTCTCGACGACGAGTCCTGGAAGGCTCAATCCTTGGAACACGCTCACGGTGACCCAGCGTTGCGATTTTACGGATTGGTTGTTTTTGAACTATTTGGCGAAAAATATGGACGCTTTGGTTTTCAAAGATTTGTTTATTGGGTTGGCGGAGGATTTGGAGGAGAATAAGAAACCGTTGATTACTTTAGATAGTGATGAGGAGAGTGGGACTCTCGAAAAAACGCACAAGTATGACTGATGTGATATTATTGGCTTTTGTATTCTAGTCGTTTTATAGTGTGCTGATGTAAGTCTGAGATATTTTGTGCAGTGTTATGCACGACGATTTTTTGTGTAGCTATAGTTTTTAAGTCTTGTACTGAGCTTATTAAAGAATAGATGTTTATACGATGTGGTTTTTATTCTTCCGATGAAGATTAACAAAAAGCGTTAGAGAAAATAGAAAGGATTCTATGAAATCGCCATTTCGACAAGAGAAAATGTTCAAGGTTTCAACAGGCAAGACCAAGAGTAGACACATGTTAACAAAAGAAAATCTTAAGTGTGGTTTTCAAAATTTAAGAGAGAAATAGCTGGGTATTGTGTGACTAAAGATTTTGAAGAGAAAGAAATTGTTATTGGCTTATTCTCCGTTTCGCTCCAGAATGGTTCAACTTTAAGGGTAGAAGAAGAACAAGAAGAAGGAAAAAGAAGAATATTAAAAGAAAATCTCTCTCGCTCCTGAAGAACAGTCAAACAAATGCAGTTTCTGATATAAATTTATGAAATTTGATTTTGAAAATTTAATTTTTTTATGACTAAAAAGTTAAAAAAAAATAAAAAACGACCAAAATAAAGGGCTGAAAAAGAGTCACAAAAATCCATAACAATGCAAAAAAAGAGAGATTACAAAGTGACAAAAAAGGCGCCTACAAAAACTGTCAGAAAAAAGCAATAAAGAAAAGAAACAAAAAAAGGCATCAAAAGTGTCCAAAAGTGACAACAAACTAAAAAGGTGGTACAAAAACACCACAAGTGAGACATAACAGGTAAGAAAAAATGTACCAAAAAAAAAGGCAATGAAAAAAGAGGGCAAAGAGTCTACAAAAGAACTTAACCAAAAATGCTGTTAAAAGAATATAATCGAAAAGTAACTAAAAAAGCAAACAAAATGACAAAAAAACTTATAAAATGCAACAAAAAAGTCAAATAAAATAAAAGAGGTCAAAAACTCTACAAAAAAGGGTGATACGACAAAAAGACGCCTAAAAGAAAGAAATCAAGAAGTGACAAAAAAGATCAAAAAAGCTACAAAAAAAAAAGAGGACAAAAAACGCCATAAAAAGTCAACAAAAAGCAACAAAAACGCGTTTAAAAACAGGAAAAACAATCAAAAAAGACGACTACAAAAAGGACCAAAAAGGACGGTAAAAAAGGAGCAAAAAAGAGACAAAAGAGTCCGCAAAAAAAGTGCCAAAAAAAGGGCCCAAAAAGTGTCAAAAAAGGTAAAAAAGGAACTAGAAAAGGGAACCAGAAATTGCGTCAAAAGAAGAGGGTCAATAAGACAGGGGCGAAAAAGGTAACAAAAAATGTTACAAAAAGGCCACAAAAAATCCACAAAAAAAAACTGCACAGAGGACGAACAAAATTCAACAAAAAAGTCGACTAAAAGTGATAAAAAGCTAGAAAGCGTCAAACAGATCACCAAATATACGATCAACAGAGTCAGAGTCAGGTTAGAAAAATGTCAATAAAGGAAAAACACAAAAAGTCCAGAAAATAAGACAATAAAAATGTCAAAACAGAAGACAAAAATCCATAAAAAATTAAAAACCTACTGCAAGAACCAAAAAATGTGTCAAAAAAAGGAAAAAGCGTCTAGAAAATGCGACTAAAGCAGGGAGTCAAAAATGGAGACAAAAAAGAAAGTAATTAAATGCAGCAAAAAAGGACAGAAAAGAACAAGAGTCCACAAAAAAGGCACTAAAAATGCCAAAAACAGGACAAAAAATAAAAAAAAAAATGTAAAAAAGTTACCAAAAAAGAAGAAACACGTCAAAAGGAAGAGATATAAAAAAGTGATAACAACCGAGGAGAGTTAAAAATAAAATAGAAAAGAACGAAAGAGGCGACAAAGATGCCAAATTAATTAAAAACATTCGAAAAAAGACCAAGAAAAAAAATGACTAAAAAGGAAGCCAAAAACTCGCCAAAAAATGCGACTAAAAGAAGAGCGAAAAAACAAGCGTAAATAGAGGAAAAAAACATAAAAATGAGAAAAAAGCCACTGCAAAAAGGAGGCTAAAACCATGACAAAGAATGCGGCTAAAAGAATAAAAAAAATGCTATAAAAAAATACAAAAGGCCCACAAAAAAGCCACAAAAAAACAAACAGTGACAAAAAAGACGATAAAAAAACAAAAACATGACAAAATAGTCCACAAATAATGCAACAAAATAAAGGTGACTACAAAAAAAGAAAGTTCACAAAAAGGCGACAAAAATGTGAAAACAGAATTTAAAAATAATAATACGGATTTATTTACAGAAAAAAATCATTAAAAAATGCAAAAAAAAAACAAGAAAAAAGTGAAAAAGTTGGTTAAAAACGCGATAAAAAAGGTGAGTAGTAGTAATAATAGTACTTGGTGAGATAAGACTGATTTTGGCAAATCACATACCTTCCAAGAAAGTAAAGGGTGGGTGGGCGGGGCTAGTACCTGCTAAGATAAAACTGATTTTGGCAAATGATGTACCTTCTAAGAAAACAGAGGGTGGGTGGGCGGGGCTAGTACTTGGTGAGATAAGACTGATTTTGGCAAATCACATACCTTCCAAGAAAGTAAAGGGTGGGTGGGCGGGGCTAGTACCTGCTGAGATAAAACTGATTTTGGCAAATGATGTACCTTCTAAGAAAACAGAGGGTGGGTGGGCGGGGCTACTACTTGGTGAGATAAGACTGATTTTGGCAAATCACATACCTTCCAAGAAAGTAAAGGGTGGGTGGGCGGGGCTAGTACCTGCTGAGATAAAACTGATTTTGGCAAATGATGTACCTTCTAAGAAAACAGAGGGTGGGTGGGCGGGGCTAGTACTTGGTGAGATAAGACTGATTTTGGCAAATCACATACCTTCCAAGAAAGTAAAGGGTGGGTGGGCGGGGCTAGTACCTGCTAAGATAAAACTGATTTTGGCAAATGATATACCTTCTAAGAAAATAGAGGGTGGGTGGGCGGGGCTAGTACCAGCTAAGATAAAACTGATTTTGGCCCCATTAATCTTGTAAAAACTTGTGAAATTTAAAGGTGCTAAATTGCAAATTTCCATAGTAAAGAGTTAAATTCCTAAAGCTACCCGAAATTTGAAAAACATCATCAGTTTTTACTTGTGAGTTATCATTGCATTCATATTTTTTAGATTTGCTTATACAGGTGATTCAAAAAAATTAATATGTATTTTTTTTATATGTGAACCTTCTCGGGGGTTCATACTGTTTTTTTTAATGTAAAACCTACTCGGGGGCCCCAAATGTATTTTTTTCATATGTGAAACCTTTTCGGGCGTTCAAACTTTTTTTTTATGTAAAACCTTCTCGGGGGTCCCAAATGCATTTTTTTAAAAATGTGAAACCTTTTCGGGGGTTCCAAGTGTGTTTTTTAAAAAATGTAAAACCTCCTCAGGGGTTCCAAATGTCTTTTTTTTTTAATGTGAAACCTTCTTGGGGGTTCAAACGTTTTTTTTTTTAATGTAAAACCTTCTCGGGGGCCCCAAATGTATTTTTTTTTTTTTGAATGTGAAACCTTCTGGGTAGTTCAAACTGTTTTTTTAATGTAAAACCTTCTCGGGGGCCCCAAATGTATTTTTTTTTTAATGTGTGACCTTCTCGGTAGTTCAAACTGTGTTTTTAATGTAAAACCTTCTCGGGGGCCCCAAATGCATTTTTTTAAGAATGTGAAATCTTCTCGGGGGTTCCAAGTGTGTTTTTTTTATATGTGAAACCTTCTCAGGCGTTCAAACTGTTTTTTTTTAATGTGAAGTGACGTCATCACAAAACCAACGAAAACCAAAAGCTGAGGTGGGTGGGGTTAGTTTTACTTTTTCGTCTAGATTCCAATGTTTATCAATATAAAACTCCCTTTTAGTCCAATGAAATGAGTAATCAAGAGAAAAATCGGGTGGGTGGGTGGGTCCACTTTGAATTTTTGTAAATAGATTCGGTCACATGACATAAAAATTAAATTTCCATCGAATCCAATAAGCCAATGAAGTGGGTGGGGCTAGTTTTAGGCTTTTGTGTAGATTCCACTGTTGTTCAATACAATGCACTTTTCGTCCAATAAAATCACTTTAAATTTTTTAGACATAATTCGTCTTGACACAGTAACTAATCATAAAAACCAATGAAATCCAAATGCGTCGGTGGGTGGGGTTAGTTTTACCTTTTGGTTGAGATTCCAATGTTTTAGCCACTTGGAATTTTTTTAAGCATAAATTGGACCACCCCACAAAACGTAATTCAGTTTTCATCTCATAATAAATAAAATAAGCCAATGAAATGCAGATGTGGTGGTGGGTGGACTTAATTTTACCTTTTTGACTATTTACATTGCGTGTTAACATAAACTCCCCAACCAGTAAAACGTGTGATTAATTTCATTGGCTCTTAATCAAAGAAGAATCTCATCTGTGCAAAATGATATTTTGTAACAGACAAGAGTGAAATTATTCCACATGGTTTGTGCATTTTATCAAATTTGCAGAAAATTTAGAGAAAAATTATTCAAATATTTCGTCAAGGTTTTGCTATTCGCCCGTAAATATTACACTTATTGTGTCACCTGTCAAACGAGCACGGCATAGTTCAATACTTATTTATTTTGTAGGGAACTATTTTTGTAAAACACAATCTAGACCATCCAACACACATCTGTGCAAGACTTTTTTCATTGTCATAACAACCCATTCTTTGAATATTAAAAGCCGAAACCTAACGTCTGTTTAATAAAAAAAGACAATCCAAACAAACACCCAGCCACACAAAAAAGCACACAAGTAAATTTGCGGCATGCTTGACGCAACCATAGTTCAACAACATTTTTAACTTCAACACATACTGGCAGTACATGAGCCACAAGAAGAACAAAAGCAACACAAGTGCAAAGTTTGCTCACAACGAGACGCAGGTGAGTTGTGTAATCACTCGAGTATGATAATAATGCCACTCCAGAACTTGTTTAAAACAGATTTAAATAAACTCGAAAAAAAAAAGTATGTGTGCGGTAATCGGTTGAGTGCGATAAGGTGAATTTATCTCACCGTTGTAGACCAGAACGAGACGCTGGACAAATGATTAATTAACAGGGAACGATGAGACATTTTGTTAAATTGACGAAAACAAACACAAAAAACTAATTGAATAAACAGTGGAGAGTGTACGTATTGGGTTTTTATCTATACGCAAACCCAACAGGAAGAGGAATTCTCGACATTCATACTTCCTTATCGCTTCCAAGAGAACGCTACTTACCACGAAAGATAACGAGGTTTCTCCATTTACCATATCAGAAGGGCATTTATTATAGTAATGTCATAGCGGGAAGTGCGGTGAAGTTGGTCCTGGAGTTTTTCGTTATTTTGGTTTTTGAAACAAAGGTAAGCGTGCATGAACTACGAGTACACGCTTCATAAAAGCCCATAAATTACTTAGTAAGTCATAATTATGGTCGAAACCTGGAATTTTTATCTTATTTGACAATAATATGCACACAAGATATCTGTGTCATTAAGATGAACTCATTTACTTATATCTTAAATGCTTATTAATTAATTAGTGGTAGATAATTTCGAGTAGTCAGTAGGTACTAGTCAGTGGTATAAGGAATCTTTTTTAGTAATCACGATGTTGGGTCTGTTTGACGTTATTAAAGACCAACTGAAACCAAAATTCGGCTCCATCTGTATCGACAATTGGGTCTTCAAACTCCACTATCGAGCCACCTGTATCATCTTCTTCATAGCCACGATTCTAGTGACATCTCGGGAGTACATAGGCGAACACATAAAATGCATCACTGACATGAGTAGTCCCGGTTTTGAAAAAGTCATCGAGACTTTTTGCTTCTTTACGACGACCTTCACCGTGGTGAGTACTTTTCCAAAGTAAGTAGTACCCAAAAGTCACAGCTTATAGGTCGACGACACAGAAATGGACTTCTTCCGATTCGGCTTCAACGGACATAGAGGCATTCTACCCTATGGTGTAGGTTCCAAGCAACCCATTCGCAAACACATGTACTACCAATGGGTCCCGTTCCTGCTTTTCGGTCAAGCCATAATGTTTTACCTCACCCATCTATTCTGGAAGAAAATGGAAAACAACCGAATCCATAAATTGGTCACAGGCCTCGCCAACTCTAGGTTCGCCCTCCTCGACAAAGAAGTGAACATCGACCACCACTCAATCCCCACCAAAGAGAACAAGTAAGTTTTGAAACCCATGCAACCACACGTTTCTACTTTTCGTCTTCAGGAAAGCCTGCATTCAAAGAATTCGGGAAGAGTTTCTGCAGCGCATCAGACTGAATAAATCGTGGGCGTGGTGGTTCATGTTCTTCGAAGTACTCAATGTGGTACACGTAGGGTTCCAGTTTTACGTCACGAACAAGTTTTTGGGTAACCTGTTTAGTACTTTAGGGAGAGATGTGGTGCAAAATGGGTCCAAGGTTCTGGATGAAGTTTTCCCAAAGGTAATCGTACCTTTCGTATCAAAACTCGTCTAACGTGTGTGTTTTAGGTGACGAAGTGTACCTTCCACAAGTACGGTCCGTCAGGGTCCATTCAGGTTCATGACGCTTTGTGCATCATGGCGCTTAATATAATCAACGAAAAAATCTACCTGTTTTTGTGGTTTTGGTTCATGATTTTGTTTGGGGCGTCGTGCCTTATTGTGGTTTGGAGGGTTTTGAGTATGTTTCTTTACTCGAGATCAGTAGGGTTCAATCAGATCATTTTTGGACATACTGCTCGAGGGAAGTTGTACCCGTGGCACCTCCAGATGGTTATCAAACGCTGCAACTACCCAGACTGGCTACTCCTTAGATACCTATCAAAAAACATGGACGGGTTGGCTTTCAAAGATTTGTTCCTGAACATTTACGAAGAACTGGAAGAGCGGAAACCGCTATTTTAGTGTGACTGCACCAAAGATCATCTCGTTTATTTTTATACATGACTTAAGTATTATATTAAGTACTTAATTTTTATATACTCGAATTTTTACAATAAAGTCTTGTTTGCTCTATCTAATCGCACGAAAAGGTGTATATGTTTATTCATGATATGGGGTCTTCCCCTTTCTTTGATTCTGGGTGTATCCACAATCTCTTCGATATAGGTAATGCAAACATTTTGTGTAAACATGTGCCATTTGGTAAGTTTTCAACGCATCGACGACAATGTTGAACCTGATCAAAACCTTCAAAAATAACGTTAAAATAAAATCGGACTCTCTATGTATCGACAATTGGGTGTTCAAACTTCACTATCGTGTGACGACGGTGATTTTTCTGGTATCAACGGTCTTGGTGACGTCGAAGGAGTATATAGGTGAAAGCATGAAGTGCCTAACCTCTAAATTAGCAGACAGGACGTACCAAAAGTTCCTGGAAAGTTTCTGTTTCTACAAAAGCACCTTTACCGTGGTGGTGAGTCTTGTGGTTGTTTTTTCTGGCTAGTTAAAACTGTTTCAGAGTGATGATGATTTCGACTCTAACAATGTCTACAACTCCTATGGTCTTGGTATGCCAGGTCCAAGACTCATCAGAAAACACATGTACTACCAATGGGTACCATACGTACTGTTTTTGCAAGCGATAATGTTTTACGCAACGCACTACCTTTGGAAAATCGTGGAAGGTACTTAAGTCCGGTTTTCACTTAATTAAGTAACTAGGATATTTCTGTGACTAGGTGGCGAGGTTCGTAAATTAATGTCACTGGAAAAAAACTTACAACACGGTGTGACGGTCCAGGAGAAAAAGTAAGTACTTTCTTTGTGGTCCCAAAACTATTTCTCTCTTTGTAGAGGGTACTCCGTCCACAGACTCAAAGCCACCGTTTTGGTACACATCCGTTTGAACCAAAGTTGGGCTTGGTGGTTTATATTCTTCGAAGTGTTAAATTTAGCTAACGCGGCCTTCCAAATCTACCTTACCAACTTATTTTTGGACAAACAATTCTTCGATTTGGGGGTCAAATTTGGTAATCAAGGTCCGACAATCTTGGAAAAAATTTTCCCCAAAGTGAGTCTGTGTCCCATAGAATGACTAGTACTTATAGTTTAGCCCGTTTTAGAAAACCAAGTGCACTTTCTTCCAGTATGGTCCTTCTGGTACCATCGAAATTATAGATGCTCTGTGTATCCTAGCGCTGAATGTCATCAACGAAAAAATCTACCTCTTCTTGTGGTTCTGGTTCTTGGTACTATTTGCAGCTTCTGCTTCTATCTTGGTCTGGCGATTGGTGACCATGCTGCTATATTCTAGAAGCCTAGCTTTCAACAAACTCGCCTTCGGGTATTTGACTCAAACCAAAGTCAGACCGTCTGATTTCCATAGAATTTTGAACCACTGGAGCTACTCGGATTGGTTTCTGCTGCGATATTTGTCAAAAAATATGGACGGTTTTGCGTTCAAGAGTCTCTTCGATTTGGTTTGTCAAAACACCACGATCGTAAACGATATTTCTTGAACTGAATAATTAAAACCTATTTTGAAACTAATTAGTGTTAATAAATTCTCGAAGTCATCAATCCGAAAGCCTCACCTATCAATTACAATCAAGAGAAGTATTTGATTAAAAGCCGTCCACTTAAAATGCAGAAAAATAAATCGTTCCTAATTCCCTCGTGAGAAACACCTCGGGTCAAACGAAAAGCAATAGAGAAATTGTCGAAATTGATATAAACGATGTCTTGAGGCGTCTGTGTCGAAACCGACGGTAGTTGACACCAGAGAATACATTATTTATAACGGTTAGACTTTAGATTCGCTCGGTTTTCCCTCTACCATTGTAAAACTGTGACAACAATCAAAACTAGTAGGCAGAATTTTTCTAAATGTTCGAAAACCAGGCAATAAATCACCACCAACGGTCGTAGAGACAATTATTTCGTGTCCACTTTACGGCCAATAAAAATGTGGATCGTGTTTCTGTCTCGCTCCCACTCATGCGCCAGCCCCTGTCTCTCTCAACTCTTATTAGCATTAATCACTAAACATGAGTTACGCCGCAAAGTGCATTAACTTCCAAAGGAGTCGCTACACTAATTAAAATTAATATAATCAGCAATAAAATTAACGATGAAATTTTTCGATTGATGCGATTCGCTGAAAGTGCAGAGGGTCGCATTTGCGCCGCACCCAAAACTCGGTGATTCGAAAAGGGTCGCATTTGCGCCACACCCAATATTTTCAAAATTAGACAAACCGTTGTGCGAATGCTTTGCTTCCCTCAACAGGTGACCGCCACAGGTTGTGTTTAGAATCGGCATTCGTTATATGTTACTATGGAAACCAGTTAGCAACAGCGAGCACAGACTCTCTTTCTTATCTTGTGTCGGTCGCAGTCGGTTCTGCATTCCAGAGACGGGTCTTTTTGGCCTATTGACTTTTGTGCGGAACGTGGCGCTGTCTGGTTGGCGGCGGTCGAACTAAGCGGTGTGAAGTTCTGGATGATCGCGTTGTTGGCGCCACCTTACAGGAGTTGGACATGTGTTTAAAATTAATTAGTTGTAATTTCGGCGACTGGTCCAATTTAGGGAATAAAAGGGACGTTGTTGGTTGTTTATTTTGTTGCAGATGGTCTTAATTATCGAAAAATGCGAATTCCTAATTACGAGTCATAGAAATCTGACAAGTTAAAAATGTTAGAATGATTATTATTATTTAATAAGTATTTGCTTAATTTGTTAACATGGCTATGATTTTCATATGTCAAGAATAATAACGTGTTTGTTATTCATGAACTGAATGTTGATAAACATGGTCTGGAAACATTTTACGCATCCAGGGACGGAACAAACATGTGTAAACAATATATAATAATATTGTAGTAAACAATTTGCTACGACTTTATAACAGTAAAAAAATAAATTAAGGAGAAATGGGAAATGAGAAATGCGGAATCCGAAAAGCAAAATCAGAAATGCGAAATGGAAATAAAAAGTGCGAAATGAGAAATTAGAAATGTGAAATAAAAATCTGACATGAGAAATGAGAAATTAAAAATGTGGAATCAAATATGAGAAATGAGGAATGGGAAATGAGAAATGTGGAATGAGAAACTAGAAATGCGAAATGGAAATGAAAAGTACGAAATGAAAAATTATATGTGCCAAATGAGAAATTAAGAATGCCAACTGATGTATCAAAAATGAAAAATAGAAAATGGGAAATTCGGAATGAGAAACTACAAATGCGAAATGGCAATTAGAAATGTCAAATAAAATATCAAAAATGAAAAATAGGAAATGGGGAATGAGAAATTCGGAATAAGAAACTAAAACTCCTGTAAAATGAGAAATGCGAAATGAAAAATCTGACATGAGAAATGAGAAATTAAAAATGTGAAATCAAATATGACAAATGAGGAATTGGAAATGGGGAATGAGAAATTCGTAATCAGAAACTAAAAATGCGAAAGAGAAATACGAAATCAGAAATGAGAAATGAGAAACAAAAAATGGACAACGAAAAATGGGAAATGAGTAATGGGAATCGAGAAGAGAAAAATGAGAAATGCGGAAACAAAAATTAGAAATATAAAATGGAAGTGAAAAATGCGAAATGGGAAATTAGAGGTGAAAAATGAGAAATTAAAAATGCGAAATGAAATATCAGAAATGAAAAATGGGAATTTCGGAATGAGAAACAAAAAATGCGAATGCAATGAGAAAATCAAACTCAGAAATGGGAAATGGAAATGAAAAGTGCGGAATGGGAAATTATAAATGTGAAATGAAATGGGAATTGGTGAATGACAAATTCGGAATAGAAACTAAAAGTGCGAAATGCGAAATGAAAAATCAGAATGAGAAATGAGAAATTAGAAATTAAAAATGAGAAATCAAATATTAACTAGAATTAGATATGGGAAATCAGAAATGCGAAATGAGTAATCAGAAATGAGGAATGCGACATGGGAAATTAGAAATGCGAAATAAAATATTAGAAATGAGCAATGGGAAGTAAGAAATAGGAAACGATAAATTTTGAGTGAGATACTAGAAATGCGAAATGAGAAATTAGAAATGCGAAATGAGAAATTAGAAGCACGCAAAAACTCTGAATTAAAAATCAGAAATGAAAAATGGGAAATGGGAAATGAGAAATTTGGAATGAGAAACTAAAAAACCAAAATGAGAAATGCGAAATGAACTATCAGAAATGGAAAATGAAAAATGAGACATTAGAAATGCCAAATGAAATGTCAGAAAATGCCAAATGAAACTGCAGAAATAGGAAACGGAAAATGAGAAGTGGAAAATGAGAAATAGGAACTGAGAAATTCTGAATGAGATACTAGAAATGCGAAATGCGAAATTAGAAAAACACAAAAATTCGGAATAAGAAATTAGAAATGCGAAATGAAATATCAGAAATGAGAAATGGAAAATGGGAAATCGAGAACTGGGAATGAGAAACTAAAAATTGGAAATCAGAAATGCAAAATGAGAAATGGGAAACAGGAAATAGGAAACGGGAAATGGGAAATGAGAAATGGGAAACGAGAAGTGCGAAACGAGAAATGGGAAATAAGAACTGGGAATCAAAAGCGCGAAATGGGAAATTAAATGTGCGAAATAAGAAATTAAAAATGAGAAATGAAATATTAGAAATAAAAAATGGGAAATGGGGAATGAGAAACTAAAAATGAAAAATGAGAAATACGAAATGGACTGTCAGAAATGGGAAATGGAAAATTAGAAATTAGAAATGCCAAATGATATGTCAGAAATAGGAAATGGAAAATGAGAAATAGGAAATGAGAAATTCTGAATGAAATACTAGAAATGCGAAATGAGAAATTAGAAGAACATAAAAATTCTGAATGAGAAATTAGAAATGCGAAATGAAATATCAGAAATGAGAAATGGAAAATGGGAAATCGAGAACTGGGAATGAGAAACTAAAAATTGGAAATCAGAAATGCAAAATGAGAAATGGGAAACGAGAAATGGGAAATGAGAAATGGGAAACGAGAAGTGCGAAACGAGAAATGGGAAATAAGAACTGGGAATCAAAAGCGCGAAATGGGAAATTAAATGTGCGAAATAAGAAATTAAAAATGAGAAATGAAACATTAGAAATGAAAAATGGGAAATGGGGAATGAGAAACTAAAAATGAAAACATGAGAAATGCGAAATGGACTGTCAGAAATGGGAAATGGAAAATTAGAAATTAGAAATGCCAAATGATATGTCAGAAATAGGAAATGGAAAATGAGAAATAGGAAATGAGAAATCCTGAATGAGATACTAGAAATGCGAAATGAGAAATTAGAAGAACATAAAAATTCTGAATGAGAAATTAGAAATGCGAAATGAAATATCAAAAATGAGAAATGGGAAATAGAAAATCGGAAAGTGGGAATGAGAAACTAAAATTTGGAAATGAGAAATTCAAAATGAGAAATGGGAAATGAGAAACGGGAAATGGTAAATGAGAAATGAGAAATAGAAACTGAGAAATTCTGAATGAGATACTAGAAATGCGAAATGGGAAATTAGAAAAACACAAACATTCTGAATAAGAAATTAGAAATGCGAAATGAAATATCAGAAATGAGAAATGGAAAATGGGAAATCGAGAACTGGGAATGAGAAACTAAAAATTGGAAATCAGAAATGCAAAATGAGAAATGGGAAACGGGAAATGGGAAAGGAGAAATGGGAAACGAGAAGTGCGAAACGAGAAATGGGAAATAAGAACTGGGAATCAAAAGCGCGAAATGGGAAATTAAATGTGCGAAATAAGAAATTAAAAATGAGAAATGAAATATTAGAAATAAAAAATGGGAAATGGGGAATGAGAAACTAAAAATGAAAAATGAGAAATGCGAAATGGACTGTCAGAAATGGGAAATGGAAAATTAGAAATTAGAAATGCCAAATGATATGTCAGAAATAGGAAATGGAAAATGAGAAATAGGAAATGAGAAATTCTGAATGAGATACTAGAAATGCGAAATGAGAAATTAGAAGAACATAAAAATTCTGAATGAGAAATTAGAAATGCGAAATGAAATATCAAAAATGAGAAATGGGAAATGAGAAACGGGAAATGGGAAATGGGAAACGGGAAATGGGAAAGGAGAAATGGGAAACGAGAAGTGCGAAACGAGAAATGGGAAATAAGAACTGGGAGTCAAAAGTGCGAAATGGGAAATTAGATGTGCGAAATAAGAAATTAAAAATGGGAAATGGGGAATGAGAAACTAAAAATGCAAATAAAAAATGATAAATGGATTCTCAGAAATGGGAAATGGAAAATGAGAAATGGGAAATCAGGAATGAGAAATGAAAGCTGGCGTGCTCGAGTGGGATGAGAATGGGATGAGCGAAATAAGAAATGGAGTGTATGAAATGAGAATCTCAAGTCTCAGGCGAAATGAAAAATGAGATAAGCGAAATGAAAAATAAGATGTGCGAAATGAACAGTAAGATGATTCACAATGAGATGTGCGAAATGAGAAATGGGATATAGAGGTTGCACGAAATG